TACATACATACATACATACATACATACATACATACATACATACATACATACATACATACCCACACACTTATGATGGAGGAAACAGACTTCACAGAACAAGATAACATGGGTGAAAACTTCTATTTGAAAAAAACAAAAACAAAAACAAAACTGACTCAATTGTAGCTTCACCAGCACCACACTGACCAGTGAGTAGAAGTACAAGTTTCTGGTTTCTTTGAAGACTCAGTTGTGTCATGTGAAGCTGGAAGCTAGCTTGTGAGAGGGCATGAGATGTTTTGCTATGAGCTGTCTCATGCTAGGGGCATGACTTTGGCCAGCTGAAAACATCGTGGGTGGACTCTGAGGAGAAGAGATATATAGAAGCCCATGGATAGTAAGACAACCCTTTTTGGATTGACATCGCTGCATTAGCCTTCGTTCTTTGACACGACTTTGCAAAGGGAAATGCTCCAGAAAACTTCTCAGAGCAATCCAACAGAGTCTTTCAGCTTTCACTGACTTGTCCCAATCTGCTCACGCGTGTTGCTGTTTGGTGTTGGCATTTGGACTGGACTGCTGGCATCCGGAAAATGAAGAGTGGACTCATCCCAATGAACTACTTCTAAAAAGGTCTACAACTCCCCCTTTTTAAAAACCTTCTTTTCCCCCTGCTAGTGGGTTGGAAGAGAGGTAGAAACATTTAAAAAAAAACAAAACCCTAATAAAGTAGGTTTGTTGAAAAATCTAAGCCTACAGTAACCTTTCCTCAAGCCAATAAGGGAAAATGTTCAGGCCAATGGCAACCCATCCATGCTGCTCACCTGGAAAATGCAGCCCCCAACACAAAAGCAGCATACTCCTTCACCAGGGGTTCTGTGCTGTTGAGGCCATTAATCACCACTTGAAGGCCACCGAAGGACAGCAGGTCCTGTGCGTTATCCATCTGCAACAAAGGCATTGCTTAGCTCAGGACAGCCATCAGGGAAGAGAGCCCTGTTCAGACATCGTTTCTTTAATGACTACAAAAAACAAATGTAAAGGACATGCAAAAAGCGACAGTGGCCTTTCTGAGTAACTGGAAAGGCGGCATTAAAACAGCCTAAGTTTTAAAGTAATCTTACATTTGAGAACCTCTCATTCACATAACGCCATTTAAAAGCACCTGCGTAGGATTCGGCGGAAATGGCACCTAGCTATTGCTCATGCCAAGGATGTCTCAGAGAATTCTAATGCTGCAATGAGTCACAAAGCTTACTCCAAACATGCAAGCTGTTAACACAAAGAATCTGGCATCATGGCACAACTAAATAGAGCCATACTTCCTGTGGATGTCCAAAGACAATGGGAGGAGGAAAAAAAAAAAAAAAGCTGACTTTTTATTAGAACCAGGGACAAGAAAATGAGTCTTCCTAATGTGGCAGGTTTTGGCTGCGGTGCGGTGCGGTGCGGTGTGGTGCCGTGCGGTGCCGTGCGATGCAATGTGGTGTGTGTGTGTGTGTGTATGGTGTGATGCTGTGTGTGTGTGGTGTGTGTATGTGTGTGTTGGGGGTGGGAGATGTGCTACAAGTGTGCTAAGAGAGAAGTAACAATATTACCCCTTTTTTGATAAGGTTGGGTGAATCAGGACGCTTTTTATAAAATCTGTACAAAAGTCAGGTCTGTTTTACTAACTAGGGCTATATGCCAGTAGTGCAGAATATTTTTATCATCATATAATAACTGATAAGCTGAATAACTTCAAACAATGAACCCAAGTGATTGTAAAAAAATTGCAAAAAAAAAAAACAACCCTTACAATAAAATCAATACTAAATTATTACATTGATGTTTTATCATAAATCCTAGTTTGAGGTGTAATGGTTATGCTGATTTTTGTGGCACTTAATTGGGTTAAATTGCTATTAAATTACTATTTTACTAGTTAACTTACTAAACCCTATATTTGCATATATACACGAGAAATCAGAATCTTACTATCACTGGCCCCAAAAGGAGACCTCTTGCCCTTTTGGTGCCACTACACAGCAAATAAGAAAGTGTCAGAAATTAAAGCCCAGCAGCACTGAAATGGATGCCTATCTTTCCCCTAGAGCTCAGGGTCCCGACTCTCCTTGCTTCTGCCTCCAAACCAGAAAGTAGGTTCTGAGAGAAACAGCAAGTATAAAGTGTATTATCTGACTCTGCCCATGCTTGGGGTGGACCTGGCCTATTTCTAGCACTTGGACGATTACAGTCATATATTTTGATGGAACTGCCATAAGAGCAGGCTTTCTCATAACTGTTGCAGTCCAGTGACTAGAAGAATGATTAGCATAGAGTTAGGTGTTCAGTGATTTTTTTTTTGTTGGTGGTGGTTTTCTGAGCCAAGTCTGTGTAGACTTGGCTGTCCTGTACTTGATTTGTAGACCAGGCTGGGCTTGAAATCGCAGAGATCTGCCTGCCTCTGTCTCTCTGAGTGCTGGGATTACAGGCATGTAGCCATCACGCCTGGCTCAGTGTTCAATGATTAATCCTTGAATTGAGGAATAGAAATTTGAACTATTCCCAAAAGAAAATGATCTGTGAATTAAAAACAAACACAAACAAAAACCCCAAGGTATTTGTACTGACAAAGTGTGTGGCCCTCTTACCTCGGGCTAAGAATGTATCCATCCAGCATAAAGTCTGGTTGCCATGGGATGGCCAAGAGCTCGGGTTTCTCAGTCTCAACCCGTCCCTATGCAAGGACGACTACAGAGCCAAAGCCCAGCTAATAAGGAAGACTCAGGCTGGGGCACCCTGCCGATACATCTTCCTTCTTCACACATTTGGCCTTAACAACTCACATCTATCTTCTGACCCTCCTTGTTCCAGGTTTCCAAGATCCAGACTCATTACTCAGCATCCCATCAAGTCCCATAGGAATGGCCACTTACCAAAACCTGGCAGAGCTGCTAGCCTTTCTGTTGACCCCAAAGCAACACAGCCAGAGTCACCAAGGGACTGTTCTGGCTTCTGCTTTCTATATGACATCAATTCCATGAGATACAAATTGCTGCTATTTCCGTAAATACTTCGAAGGTGTTCTATCATTATCTGACTGACAATGAGAAAGAAAAGGTTCATCCTGGCCCACTTGCACACCAAAAGCTGGGTTCTCCCCAGAGCCACACAGATGGCAAGTTGAGAGGCAGAACTTTTCTCAGGCTGCTTTCAGGATGGGGCAAAACTAGTGGAAAGGTGTGTAGGGAGAGAGAAAGCATCAGGAAGGAGATGGAGGGAACTAAGCCAACACCAGGAAAAATTCAGAGCACACAAGATGATGAAAGAACAGGAATCTGAGAAGGAAAGATTCAGGTAAATAATTGAGGAGTCACACGAGAAAAGCAGATAGTCTGCCCAGGGCAGAGGGGCCAAACAGAGGCCTTTTTCATAAATAACTCACAAACTGTTTTCTATACACAAGGTTTTGCTTTTCACATATCCTGTTTTAATAATTAAAATATGGCTGCAAGGAATCCTTTGGCAGACCCAGTTCAGGTCCTTGAAGCCCATGGCTTTTTAAACCTCTATTCAGTGAATTTAGAGTGGGAATCGGCTGGAAAAGTTCTATTTGCCTCAAAGTTAGCATTACATCACCCAATTCTCCATCATAACTGGAAAGCAGGCTGAGCTGTGTATCCTGGAATTTCCATGAGAAATCACAATTTACCAGGGTCACATGGCACTTTAATGCCCAGCCCCAGTCAATGGTCCAGAACACTGAGGGCACTTTTGCCAACAGAGGAAACCAATGGAATGACCAATGGAATGTTTCTGTGATGACCTCTGGCTGAGTCTGGTGATGCCCAGTGAAGTGTAAAAGTGGAATGGGATGCCACCCTGAGGATGACACTGGCAGATGGGACCTGCAGGGGGATATTTTGCTGGGTCACTACTGGCTTACCCTTTGTGTAACTCATCCCCTCCCAAGCATGAAAAGCTTTGTAGTGATTTTAGCCTTTCATGTTAACAAAAGCAAAGACCCATTGGAAAGCTGATACCTAAATATCTACCCAAGTGCATTAAAAGTGAAAGAGTAATAAAAACTGCTAACATCAGAAGAAGACTAAGCTGGTCAATAACCCCTACAAGCCCTGATCACTTAAATATCTCTAACGGAAAAGCTGGGGGTGAGGCCTTTTCACCCCAAAGCAAGGACTAGGAAGAGGAAACAGAACTTAGGTTCATTTTTCCCATCTCGTAAGAAGGTCACAGTCTTGCTATTTGGGGTCTGAGAAAAAGTTCTGAACAGACAGCACACACACACTCACCACAGATGCTATCAAAACCCCAAATGAAGAAAATAATGTCTCTTAGCCTCATTTATAGAGAACAAGGACACTGTCGTGTGTGTCTGTGGAACACTGGGCTATATTCTGCTGGGTAAGGATCTCAAACAAGCCTTTGATTATGACTGTACAGCCCTTGGGCCATCATTCCAACAGTCTCCTATCTGGGCTCTGTTCCCACCAAAGCTCCCTCCTCTGGTCAGATTCTCAACACAACAGTTGGAGGGGCTGTTTTTACAGTGTTCTCTGTCCTCTGTGCTCCGGTGCCACTCTTCCATAGCCGGTGAGGTCCCACGGCCTCTTCCTTTTCTTTCAGCTCCAGTCAGGGTTGCCTTGTAGTTCCTCAAATATACTAGGCATGTTCCCACCTCCTGTCCACTAATTTCTATACTCTTCTTTTTATTTTTTCATAATATTTATTACCTTTCAAACAAATTATCTAGTAAATATGCCTATCTGCCTCTGTTAGAAAGTAAGCTCCAAATTCGTCCATAAATGTATCTCAAGTGCCTGAAACTCAGTAGACACTCCATAAATTCACTTGTTAAAAATGTTGAATAAATGAATGGTTTGCCTTAGCTCTTCTTTACCTCTGTCTTTTGATCTTCATGTAAAAGGTACCAGTGTTCTGTGAGACGTACACTGGTCAAAGTCTAAAAGTTTAGAAGTTAGCATTAGATTGAACTTTTTACAAATCCTCATTCTCATTCATCAGCTGGTTGGTCCTCAGTCAACACCATCTCTTTGAGCTCCACTGTCCTCAACTGAAAAGTGGGAACAGCCAGGCGGGCAGGGTTAAATTTGCTACAATTCCCCTTGTTCAGGAGCCTGAGGTGAGATGACCCACAGGAACCCAGAATTTGAGAGCATCCTGGATAACAATATAGAGAGGCCCTAACTCAAAAAAAAAAAACAAAAAATACACTAGAAAAAAAATGAGACTAATAGTGGCATCTACTCATAGGCACCTAGGGAACTAATATATACAAAGTGCTTGAAGCAGTAGGTAGTACCGAGTGTTCAATATTCGCTATTAGATGTTTGAATGGCTACTTTCTCACTTCAAACTCTCCATTCTTGGGATGAAGGGCACAACCACCAAGAGTAAGAGGACACCCTAGCTCTGCCTCCCAGAGTCCCATCCCACTGTGTCTGTGCTCCAGTCACTCCAGGCCTTTCACTTTACCAAGCTCATCTCTGCCCTTGAGTCTATGCTTGTAACTTACTCTGCCTGGAAAGTTCCAAGTCAAGGACTGACAAACTTTTCTAAAGTTCCTAACAGTAAGTAAATTTTCTCCAAGTTGCTTTTTTTTCCCTTTTTCTTTGATTTTTTGTTTTTGAGACGGGGTCTCTCTGTGTAGCCATGGCTGTTTGGGAGCTCACTACATAGATCAGTCTGGCCCTGAATTTATAGAGATCCGCCTGCCTCTAACTTCCAAGTGCTGGGATTAAAGGTGTGTGCCACCATGTCCAGCCTCAAACTAAATTTAAATAAATAAATTTTATTATTTTTTGAGAAATATATATATATATATATATGTGTGTGTGTGTGTGTATATATACACAATGTACTTTTATCACACTAGGTCCTCTTCTCCCCCAACTACTCCCATATTCACTCCCACTTCTCCCAATTCCATGTCCTTAAAAAACAAAACAACAACAAAAAAAAAACCAAACAAACCTCCTGAGTCTAATTTGTGTTGCTCATGTATGCACAGGTGGGGCCCATCCATTGGAGCACTGGTCAACCACCAGGGACCACGCCCATAAAGAAAACTTCCTCCCCCTCTCTCAGCAGCCATCAGTGATCAATAGCTTCTCAGCTAGGGGTGGGCTTGTGCAGGCAGCCACAGCAGCTGTGAGCTCATGAGTGTGAGTACAGTGTCCTGTTATGTTCAAAGGCCACTGTCACTCCCGCTCCCTCTGACTTCCTGCTCTCATGGTATTTTTGTCACCTCTTCCACAACGTTTCCTGAGTGTTGTGGGGAAGGTGAGAAGAACACAGATGATATGAAGGGGGAAGGGCAATAAGGGTGGGAAGAAAATTTAAGCACCAAATGCTTCTGACTTTGTAAACATGGTCTCTGTACAACTATTCAACTGTACCACTATAGTATAAAAATAATCATAAATACTATGTCAACAAATGGGTGTAGCTATCACAATAAAATAAGAATCACAAATACAGATATTACTCCAGACTAGGTCCATGGGCAACAGCTACCCATCACCTCTTTAAGAGTTTCTCTACTTCATTTAGCCAATTTCTATCCCTCCTTGAATACTCAGCCTATACAACACATCCTCTGAGACGCCATCTTATATTGACTCTAGTCAATTAGTTCTAAGTTCCCCTGTAATATATCACCCCATATCACCCTTTGAAGCCCTTATTACAATCTTCAGTTAGCTCATTATTTGCTAATTTGTTCAACTCTTCATTATATGTGCTCCCCCTTCCAGACTGTAAGTGGCACGAGACTATGGTTATTTTGTCTTAATGTTAAAAACAAATAAAACAAAACAAAACGGCTAATAATTCAAGCACAAAAAAAGTTTGTTCTGGCCTCTAAGAACATATCTAAGTACACAGGCACTGCCTATATTAAAATGTCTGTGCCATGGAAAAGAAGGAAAACTGTTGATGCTGTTCTCTCAGTTTTTAGGGTAGTGGTTTATGTTTGGAGCTATCAATTAAAAAGTCAGATTTACGGCCAAGGAAATACAATACCTGATGGACATAGTACTCAAGGTCAAAGAGTGCAGCCACTTTCTCTTCTAGGCTAGAGCTGGAGCTGTTGAACTTGTTTATCAGCCGAACCATAATCTGCATGTCAGTCTCCAGAACAACATTCAGCTCATCAAATTCCTTCTTCAGCTCCTCGATGGGGCGGAAGAACTGCTTTACTGTGGCCTGTCTTGCCTACAGAGAACAGCAAAGTCATGATTAGTCCAAGGGGCTAGAGCTGCCTCCCTAAAATGCAAATAGTCTGCCACGGATACCCCTCCTTACAGAACTGCCATTCCAAGATCGGGGATCAAATCTGTTGGAACAGAAGCATTGCTACTTTCCAAGAGACTCAGAGAAAAATCCACCAGGGTCTACCCACACAGGGCTCTGCTCCAAAAACATACTTAGGACTTTCCTAGTCATGCTTATTCAGGTCTGGAAGAACTAAGTATTCTTGGTGCAACCACTGAGGTGAGGGAAAGCAGGACAAACTCACTTTTAACCTCTAACATCACAGGACAGCTGAAGGAGAAGGTAAGAGGATCCACACATGGATCTAACTTCCACAATCAGAACTGTGCAACAATCACACTCCTGGTCTTGTACTGCCCAACCCAGTCACAGTGCAGGGAAACCCAGATGGGGAAAACTGTGGGGAAGAGTTTTCAGAGCAAAAGCGATTTGCCAATGAAAATTAAATCACTGTCATTACTGTCAATCCAACCACAGGTGTACAGTTTGTTCAACTGTTTGAAATGGCTAAATTACTGTATGTACTATACTCAAATCTCAAACAGTTCTGTCTCAATCCTCTCTACCCCACACACATGTAAAGGTTTTTAAAATAAAGTTATGCTGGAGGTGAATAAAAGATTTTAACGGGGTATTTTATACATGTGGCCCTCTGCTTTCTTCCCAATTTTAGTGGATAGTGCTTACAGAGAATCTGAAAGGTTGTGGTGGTTTGTGTATCTATCTTACAGGAAGAGTTAAAAGGCATGGGTATTTATAAAAAGCAGGATGATGAGCAGTTGTCAGCACCTAATTATTCATCTATTACCTACGGTTTCTCTCTCTGGCGTAAGTATTCTATAGAAACACCAACCAACAGTATGAATCACCCTCTCTTAAAAAAGATGCTTCAGCCGAGTTATCCCAGCTCTGTGGTCCCACACTCCAACTCTGGGCTAAAGCCCTGTGAAAGGCTCCTGCAAGTCTCGGGCAGAGGTCTACGAATGGGGAACAAAGCCAGCAAGGAAGTCTGAGCTGTCTAAGTCACTTCTCAGAGCCAGGGAACAATGGAAACAATAGCCAAGGAAGCACAACAAACACATGTGACTTCTCAGGTGGGATCTCTGTGAGTTCAAGGCCAGCCTGGTATACATAATGAGTTCTAGGACAGCCAGCGCTACATTGTGAGACCCTGTCTTGAAAAAGAAAAACAAAGTGACTTCTGCCTCACAAAAATAATGATTCCTGGTTCTAAAGAAAGCCTGTTTAAAAAAAAGAAAATTTAATCTGAAATAATAAACTCATAGGAAATTACAAGAATAGAGTATTCATGTACCCTTTGGCCAGCTTCCCCCAATAGTAACATCTTATATAATGATAACATCAACAGCAAGAAAAGAACACAGGTCAACAGGTCTTATAATCTAAGTCTTAAATAGATCTTATACTACAAGATCTATTACATTATGTCCCTTTTACATATACATGTTTGCATGTACAGCTGTATCGTTCTATAAAGTTTTGTACAGGTTACAGACTTATGTAGCTGTCAGTACAATCAAACTATAGAGCTACTCTACCCCTACTGAGGAACCCACGGTACAAGCTCTTTATAGCTTCGTCTTGTGCTCCCACTGAGTCCCATCCCAAAGCCCTGATAACCACTGATTTTTTTTTTTTTCTCCAGCTCTATAATTCTGACATTTGGGGAATGTTATATAAATGGAACCACACAGATTGGCTTTTTTAAGATTGGCATTTTTTTCCACTAAGCATTATGCCCTTGAGATCTACCCAAGTTACTGCACACTTCAAGTGTTCATTTCTTTTTACTGCTGAGTATTTCATCACATCTGTACAGTTTGCTTAATCATTTACCTGCTTATGAGCATCCAAACTGTTTCTAGGTTTTGGCCATTATGGTACCCCTGCTCAGCAGAAGAGATGGTTCAGATGGTAAAAAAAAAAAAAAAAAAAAAAAAAAAAAGCCACCCAAGCCTGACAGGCTGAGTTCGATCCCTGAGTTCAGGCGGAAGCAGGGAAGCAATTCCTGAAGGGTTACACGCTGAACTCCACATGCACACTGTGGCATTGCACGCCTACGCTCTCTCACACATGCCACATACACAACAGGTAAGTAAATAAACAGAACCGCTATAAACACCTGATACCTTTGCTTAAAGGCATACATACGGATCTTTGTTTAAACATACATCTTATTTTTCTATGATCAACACCGATAAGCACAATTGCTGGGTTATACGGTCAACACATGTTATTTCTTTAAATTTGACAAACTTTCCCAGAGGATATGTACCATTTTACATTCCAATAAACTATGTATGAAATATTCCAGTTGAAGCATCTAGTACTATCATCATTTTTTATCTCTTAAGAAATATTTACCAATATCTCTATAGATTTAATTTGCATTTCTACAATGGCTAATGATGCTAAGCAGGTTTTCATGGCTTATCTGCCACCCACATATTCTCTTTGGCAAAATGTTTTTTTTAATTTTTCACTTTCTAAGTGGTTTGTTTATGACTATCGGAACTTTGGGGTTGTTTATATACTCTAGGTAAAGGTCCCGTGTTAGGCTGAGTGTACAATTTAAATGGAAGGGAGGACACTTGCAGGGCCAGTCCCACCGCTCTGAAAGCACATCTACTTGGCTGCCCTTCACAGGCATGGGTGCTCACATTCCAGCTGCCACGGTACATCAGCTGCAACTACCCTAAGTAGTCAATTTTTAGGGCTGAGGATATACTTCAGTTGGCAGAGCACTTGCCTAACATGCACAAAGCCCTGGGTCTGATCCCTAGCATCACATATATTAGGTATGGTAGCATATACCTGTAATCCTAACATGCAGAAGTGTAGCCAGCTGGATCAGGATTCAAAGTCGGCCTCAGGTACATTTTGAGTTTGAGGCCAACTGAGATACATGAGAGTCTGTCTCAAATGTAAAAATGAGAGTTAGAGAAATGGCTCAGCAGTCAAGAGAATACAATGGTTGGACGTCATATTATTCCTTTTTATTTTTTATTCCTCTGTTCAGGAGGCAGAGGCAGGGGAAGTCTGTAAGTTCAAGGCCAGCCTGGACTACACAGTAAGACAGTGTCTCAATAAGAATGCACACTGCACCTCATCAAGTGGCTCACAAGTGCCTCTGGGGCCAGTTCCAGCAGATCTGGTGCCCTCTTTTGGCCTCCATGGACTCCTGCACTCACATGGACAAACCCCACACCCCCACACAGACACAAAGACCCACAAAGACAGATCCCCTCATAGACAATTTTTAAAATGTTTGTTTTAAATACAGTACTAATTTTGCTGTTAGCTTTGGCAACAAGATCTTGTTTCTTCTGAACATAGATTACTAACTGTTGGCACAATGCTGCAATCTCAGTGACACAAGAGACTAAGGAAGGTCACCCTTTTTTTTTTTTTTTTTCCAGAGCTGAGGACTGAACCCAGCTCTTGCTAGGCAAGCGCTCTACCACTGAGCTAAATCCCCAACCCCAGGAAGGTCACTCTTAACTTCGAGGCTAGCAAACAGATTATAGAGTGAATTAAAAGATTCATGGGGCAACTTAATGAGACCCTGTTTCAAAATTAACAATGAAGCCAGAGGTGGTGGTTCATTCCAGCTCTTGAGAGGCTGAGCTGAAGAGTAGGAACTCATAGCTATCTGTGCTACACAGTGTGTTCCAAGCCAGCCTGGACTATAAAGTGAGGCTCTACATTAATTAACATTAACAAATCCTTCAAAGAGGGCTAGACTGAGACATGCAAGATGTCTCAGTGAATAAAGGCGCCTGCCACCAAGTCTGATGAGTTCAATCCTCAGAGTCCAAGGAACCCACATGGTAGAAAGAGAAAATCAATTTCCACTGTACATCAGTTGTCTGCTGCCTTACATACACACACATACCTGCACACGCAAGCATGCGCACACTCATTCTAAATCACTGGTTCTCAACCTTCTTAATGCTGTGACCCTTTAACACAGTTCTTCATGTTGTGGTGACCCCAATCATAAAATTATTCTGCTGCTACTTAACTGTGGTTTTGCTACTGTTATGAATCATAATGTAAATATCTGATATTCAGGATATCTGATATACAACCCCTGTGAAAAGGGGTTGTATTTGATCCCCAAAAGGATCACAATCTACATGTTGAGAGCTCTGCACTAAATAAATACATTTTAAAAATTTAAGAAGAGTTGAAGATGTAGCACATACAAGTATAAGGCCTTAGGTTTGATTTCTAGTACCAAAAAATAACTTAAGACAAATTCATAAAGTAACAGAAAGGATAAGTGACATTAGCAAAAGCCCTTCATGTCAGAGAAACTCAGAAAATTCACGACACTGAAAGCTCAATAGGTAAAATCTAGAAGCTGATCCACACTTGGAAAGGAGTGCAACCCTGCCATGTAAAGCGCTTGCTTTATGCCAGGTTTTACGATTGAGAGCTGAGCGGGGGGAGACTGCTCTGTTCTTTGCTAAGGGTTTTGTTTTGTTTTGATCAAGAAACAAAAGAAGTTTAATTCTCAATGTTTTTGGTACTTTATAGTACTAAGTAAATATTGGTATTGCTACTTTTCATTTCTGTATATATTTATGCCTCACAGGAACTGATAGCGTGTGTGAGGCCCTGGGTTCAATTCCCAGAACCTCATAAATTGGTGGCAGTAGCTCATTCCTGTAATTCCAGATCTCAGGAGGCAGACCCAGAGTTCAGTTGGCTATATGGAGCCTTAGGACCAAAAAACAAACAAACAAACAAACAAACTTGTAACATTCAAAAAACTTCTGGGATTCTGATAGAAACTGCATTAAACATATAAACATATAAATTTTACAATGTTGAACCTTCCAATTCATCTACACAGCATGTCTACTTTTAAACTCTTTAGTTTAAATACATCATCAGTTATCAACCCTTGACTT